TATAAAATTTGTCATAACTATAATAGCAGATGCTGATGCATAGTTCCAGATTAATGATTTCGTTTGATATAATTGTCATCTGTGCTTGAGATAGTTTTGAATTTATTGGTTAGGCTTCTTTTTGAGAGCCACAAACAGCTATCTTGCACGCATTACAATACCTATGCCTAATTTTGGAAATTTTCACAGATGGGGGAGCTGGCAAGTCAGAAACATGTTCAGTTCATTGTATCAGTCGAAAAGGTCTGATTTTAATTCGAATACATTTGTTATGCTTTTGCTTTATACCTAATTGTAATAAGATGGTGCTACTGTGCTCAGAAGAAGGATTCTTTTGAGTCAGTGGTGATGGAGCATATAAGAATGAATGGGGCATACTGGGGTTTGACTGCTCTTGATCTTCTTGGGAAGCTGCACGCCGTGGATGTCGAGGAGGTTGTTTCCTGGGTCCTCCAGTGCCACCATGACTCAGGTTTGTACTTTGCCTAAATTCTTAGCCAGCCCAACAACACTAAACTGTTAATTTGATCTTCATTGTTTGTATGGTGATTTTGAGTTGTAGAGAGGATGATGATACAGCTTTGTTTATGCAGGTGGGTTTGGTGGTAACATTGGGCATGACCCACATGTACTATATACCTTAAGTGCTGTGCAGGTTTTGGCCTTGTTCGACAAGCTTGATGTTCTGGATATTGAGAAGGTTGCAAGTTGTATCCTTTAGCATATCTTTTTGTAAATTGAAGTAAATCTTTACCACTTTAATATATATTTTTCCATGGTTATTGGCATTCAAAATAATTGTTATGCCTTGTGTTGAGAGGCTGCTTATAGCTTCCTAAAATAAGATGTAATCATAGACAGGCACCTACAAAATTAGACAATTAAATTTGTAAAGAAGATTGAATTTAAGCAAATTTGTGCAACTTAATATAAAATTCAGATGTGGCTGGGCTGCAGAATGAAGATGGATCATTTTCAGGGGACATGTGGGGTGAAATTGATACACGGTAGTCATTTTTAATTTCCTCTACTTTTGGAATTTTATGATTTTTTGAAGTTGCCATTTCTTTATGTAGAACATGACCAAGTAACAAATTCTTTGCTGTTCCTTATAAAAGAAATTAACAAAACAGCAACACTTTCTTTTGATTTTAGGTTTTCTTATATTGCTATCTCTTGTCTCTCATTACTACATCGTTTGGATAAAATCAATGTGGAGAAGGCTGTGAACTACATTTTAAGTTGTAAGAATCATGATGGCGGATTTGGATGCATACCTGGTGCAGAGTCTCATGCAGGTCAAAGTAAGTTATTTACCATATAGTGTCTCTAGGATGTTTACTTTCTGATTAGTGCTTAATAAATCAGTTTTGTTATACGTCCAGTTTTAGACTTTTCCCCCCCTGTATTTTGATTGTTAAACGAACTCTGTATAGGTTTTATTCAGAGAATCATGTTTACTTCAGATTCAGTTGTATTTTGATGGAAACTCAATAGATCATTGAAGCTGTTTCCTTTTTGTCCATTCAATGGATGTTAGCAGTTACGCTTGCATTTTATGTCACCTAGTTAAGTTTTAAGCTAAGGTTGTCATTATTTTTTTCTTTTTCACGTAAGTTTTTAGCTAAGGTCATGTGACACATCTCTTTTTACATCATTCCAACTCCCAAATCTAGTGAAGTATCCTTAATCTTGCTTAATCCACATGCCTGATCTGGAAATGGCATAATTCGGTTGTATTATCTGTATTTCAAAACTAGATTATAAACTACAGCTTTGCTCTGCACATTGTGACTACAGTTTTCTGTTGTGTGGGTGCACTTGCCATCACGGGGTCACTACATCATATTGACAAGGACCTTCTTGGATGGTGGCTATGTGAGCGGCAAGATAACAAAACTGGAGGTCTTAATGGTCGACCAGAGAAACTTCCTGATGTAGGGTTCTTTTTCCTTTGAAATTGAAACTGAATTTGTTTCTTTTAACATTCTTGGACTCTTCCTTATGGCATTATTTATTCATTTCAGGTCTGCTACTCATGGTGGGCTCTTTCTAGTTTGATCATGATTGACAGAGTTCATTGGATCAATAAAGACAAGCTTATCAAGTTCATTTTAGACTGCCAGGTTACATTTACCTAACGAGCTATTTGTACATTTGGATTATCCTTTAGGAGTGGACATTCTCCCTGTTTTTGTATTTCCTGAGTGAAATTCCAATCATGTAACTATGGATTTATTTGAGATGCTTTGGCTAATTATTGAAATTTGCAGGACATTGAAAATGGAGGAATTTCTGACAGACCAGATGATGCTGTTGATGTTTACCACACTTACTTTGGTGTAGCTGGTATAATTCTTGCCTCTGCTTTCTTTGATTTCCAAATTTCTTCACATAATAATTTGGCATGTTGAAACCTTTCTGGTTAGAGCTTCTGAGTTTCCATCTTGGTTCACAAGGCTAGCTAGTACCTGCTTATGAACCACATATAGTGCGAAAATGTTTATATAAGATGATTTGTGTTCTTCGTGTAATTTTCTCTCTACAGTATGCATCACATTACATCTAAAGTTGATGTTTATTGATGCAGGGCTCTCCCTTCTCGAATATCCAGAGTTGAAAGCCATAGATCCAGCGTACGCTTTGCCGGTTGATGTTGTAAATAGGATTATTTTAGACAGATAAAGGCTGTGTTTGCAACACTCTGACTTGTTGAGCTTGCTGCAATTTGACACTTTTTTGGTTCTCAAATAGGTCACAACTCTCAACACCTTATTGATATGTAGAATATACGTTTTTCACTTTGGATGATCCATATACATTCCAGTGGTAGTTGGATGAAATGAGTAATTAAGCTCACAGCTGTAGAGCCTGTAGCAGCCACCATCCCACTCCATGAATGATGGATCTCATTTATGAAGTGTGCTTCGAAGTATGGGGATTGAACTCTGTCTGGACTCAGAAAATTGTGGTCCCTGTTCTTCAACATTCGATGTCATCCAATTCCAAGTTACCATCTCATTTCCTTTTCTATTTGGTTTCTTTGTAGAAAATAGGTAGATTTGTTGACTGAACTTTGATACATAATGATACATTTTCATCTAATCTAATTGAAACTTGGTAACATTGGCATACATACAAACATGCCATCAAATCAATCAAGGGAAGAAGCCCTACTATCTTTATTAGCATGTGTCAGATTGTTCGTCACCTCTGATATTCGGATATTCAATTTGGAGCGGCTAATGAAACCCACATTTGATCAATGGTTGAAAATCATCTACGCACATTTGATTTATGATCATACATTATCTAGTCACTCAGAAATTCACCACAAAATGACCCGATCACATAAAACAAGTGTCACATCCCCACATTTGATCAATGATTGGAAATCATCCACGCACATTTGATTTATGATCATATATTATCTGGTCACTCAGAAATTCACCACAAAATGACCCGATCACATAAAACAAGTGTCACATCCCCACATTTGATCAATGATTGGAAATCATCCACGCACATTTGATTTATGATCATATATTATCTGGTCACTCAGAAATTCACCACAAAATGACCCTATCACATAAAACAAGTATCTCATCGCATCTGTCAAGAAATGGTAAATAACAAGAGCCAAAATGTCTTTAATTGCATCCAGGTTGTGTTGCCACTTGCAATTTGCAAACAATATGATTATATGAGAGAGAGAGAGAGAGAGAGAGAGAGAGAGTGTGTGTGTGTGTGCGTGTGTGTTTGTTTGCATGTGACCTTGTATGACAAGATTCAAGGTTTGAGCATCAAATCCTTTTGGCTCTCTTCATTTCATTGGAAAATTGCCGTCACTCCACCCAATCCCATCCCATCCCAGCCGACCTCAGTATTTCAAACACAATTCAAGTGCCCACTTTGGTTCCTCCCTCATTTCGGTGGAAGCTAGACTAAGAGAACCCTCAGATTCTAACCAATCAACGAGACACATGTCACCATTCCTCAAACATTAGCCTTACGTGTACGGATGTGATTGGCCAGACCTTTAGGCCAAGTAGGGGTTGGATTGGGATTTAACATAATAAAATAGGCCAAGTTGGGGTTGGATTGGGATTGAATATAATAAAATAGTGTATTTGTTGGAAGAAGAAAAAAAAAAACTGAGAGTTTTGAGAGTGTGTGTGGGATTAAAAGGCGTCATGGTTGTGCCAACAAGAGGACTTAGGCAAGGCGAACCCTTCTCGTCTTATCTGTTCTTAATATGTACGAAAAGGTTGTCTGCCTTATTATCCAGTGCTCTCAGAACGAAACAAATCAAGGGAATTTCAATGGCTAGTGGAGCCCCCACTATTTCCCATCTCTTTTTTGCTGATGATAGTTTGTTTTTTTGTGATGCCCATTTATCTGACTGTGCACATTTGCTTCATATTCTCAGATTGTACGAAAGGGCTTCAGGCCAAAAAATTGATTTTGACAAGTCTGCGGCGTGTTTCAGTCCCAAGACAAATCCCATAATGAAGCAATTGATTTCAGAGATGCTTGGAGTGCGGATTGTGGCTTGCCATGAACGGTACCTCGGTTTGCCCACGATTGCTACTCGAAATAGATCCCAAATGTTTAACCATGTTTGGGAGCTCTTGTGGCACAAACTAAATAATTGGAACATGAAGCTCTTGTCGGCGGCAGGAAGGGAAGTATTAATCAAGGCAGTTGGGCAGGCTCTTCCTACATATACAATGGGAGTTTTTCAACTGCCTCAGACTTTGTGCAAAGAATTATCGGGTATGATAGCCACGTTTTGGTGGGGGAAATATGATCAAAGAGGCATACATTGGATGGGGTGGCGAAAGCTATGTCAACCTAAATGTATGGGGGGCCTTGGTTTTAAGAATTTTGAAGCTTTCAATAAAGCTTTGGTAGCGAAACAGGCGTGGTGTATTTTGGAGAAACCCAACTCTCTAGTGGCAAAGATCCTGAAGGCTTGATATTTTCCACATGGAGACTTCATGGGGGCCCCTCTGGGTCCTTCTCCGTCTTTGATATGGCGATCTATTTTGTGGGGACGGGAGGTTATTGAGGAAGGGCTAGATTGGCGAGTTGGGAACGGGAATTCAATTAGGATTTTTCATGACAAGTGGATCCCTAAACCGTGTACTTTTAAACCATTATGGAATGCATGATTGGATTAGAATGCTAAGGTGGCTGATCTAATCACTGATTCTAGAGTAGGGGATTTGGCTTTGCTAACAAACCACTTCTGTGGGGAGGATAAAGAGGCCATAACTAGCATAGCTCTAGGGTGAGTTGCACAATTGGGTGATAACCAATATTGGTACTTCGAAAAATCTAGTAAGTACTTAGTTAAAACTGGATATCGGGTGGCTTTATCCCAATGCGATGAGAACTCTGATATTGGTGGCTCAGATTCCTCAACAAGACAATCTTTTCGGAAGCAACTCTGGAAGCTTGAGGTGCCAAGTAAGATTAAGAATCTGGTGTGGAGGGCGTGCTTAGACATCTTTCCCTCTGCTGTTAATCTGTATAAGAGGAAAGTGATTCAGTCCCAAGTTTGCTTCAGATGTGGCAAATATTATGAGGATGCCTGCCATGCTTTGTGGAGTTGTAAGGTCAGCAAGCAGTTTTGGAGGTGTACGGGGTTTGCTGGGCGTTTTAAAATTAGTGGAGGCTCTTTTGCAGATTTATTTGATCCGGTTATTAGAGCTTGCTCACAGGTCGACGTGGAGAGGTTTGTTTGTTCTGTTTGGAAGCTCTGGCAGACACGTAATGATATGTTGCATGGGAAATCTATTCCTCGCGTACAAGACTTAGTCGAGAGAACTATGGAGCTATATGGAGGTTACAAATCCTGTTTGGTGCGGCCCCAGTTGTTTGGGGTGTCTCGGCAAATCAAATGGGTTCGCTCGCCTTTGCATACCTTTATGCTTAATTGTGATGGTGCCTTGGACCGTGAAGGAGAAAGGAGAGGGGGGGGGGGGGTTGGTTGTTGTAGAGATAATGCAGGGAGATTCATATGTGGGTTTGCTACTTTCAGTCCACTTGGGATGAATGTATTATGCACTGAGCTGGTGGCATTGAGAGAAGGGTTATTGATGATGGGATTTAAAGGCTATACTCAGTTTTTGCTTGCAACTGACTCCAAAGAAGTAGTGGCGATGCTCAAGGAAGATTTGGAGTGGCGGAGTAATTTGGGTAATGTGGTGGAGGATATTAGACAATTAATGGCGGATCGTGGGGTGGTTGATGTGGTGTTTCAACCTCGCGATGGCAATGGGGCTGCACATGCACTGGCCCAGTTTGGATTGAAGAAAGGTCTACGTTTTTTTTTGGGAAGATATTGCTCCTAGAGCTGGCAAACGGGTCGTTTTAGCGGGTTCCGGGTCGTTAACGGGTCAACCCGTTTTCTTAACGGGTTGACACGAACACGACCCGTTAAGTTAACGGGTGACAAATACTAGACCCAAACACGACCCGTTACAATTCGCGAATATCCGACACGACCCGTTAACCCGTTAAGAATAAACCAGAAAAAAAAAAAAAAAAAAAAAAAAAAAACAC